GAGGGGTTTTGAGGCCTGGTAAACGACACAATCTATTTCCACCAAAAACTACTCCAAAACAGACTCAACTGCTCGCACATTCGGGGCCAAACGTTGCGTCTGGATCCCTAGAACAAAAAAACTAGTACATTCTGGCCCATCCGTACCCTGTGAACCTGAGCACCGGCACAGACCTTGCCACAAGAGATTCACAGGCACCGGCATCCATGGTGAGCACTCCCACACCTGTAATCCCTGGCGCGCTCCCCCTTTCTTCAGCCGGGGTCGGCGGATATAACAATAAAACATATTCCACTACAACTATCCCTCCAAAAAATAGACTATTCTGGGGGCCTTTATTAATCAGTGCAGGAAAGAAAAAGTCATTATTCTGGGTGTGTTTATTAATCAGAGGTCAACATTACTGCAAAAAGAGTACGCACAAAACATACACAAACAGAATGCACCTCATGTAGAAAGGACATGTGCATTCTTAAGGGCACCACGTCGTTTTCAAGCAATTGAAGCCCAACTGACATATCGAATTGATCTCTTGCACTTGCAGAGCTGCACAAGGAACAACACATTCATTGGCTTGACAATTGGTGCCAGTTTTTCCTTTGCTTTCAACGAGCCACAACAGGGTGTCCATGTAACTGGAAAAAGTAAGCGTGTTTGTGTGTTTTGCATTCCAGAAACGCAGGCTGTTTGGCCCATCGCATTTGGCCGTTGGGAGGTTTGGAAGACATGCGACCAGACATGACCATGCACCAGGTCAGGGCAGCGATTAGGAAGAACCGTGGTTCCTCATGTTTTCGTAAAGTTTTTCAATTCAAGGCATACAGGTGTCAATATTGCTCTATAAATGCTAGTCGCTGCTAGTCCACCAAAAGCACGTCCCTTTTGAGAATGATGAACGTGTCAACGCGTCTTCTTTGCTCCTAGTAGCGATGCCAGGAGCCCCTAGTAGCTTCTTGCTCCTAGCAGTCAGGCCCCTAGTAGCGTCCGATCGCTCCTAGTCTGAGGAGAACCTGGACCTGCTTCAGCGAAAACTCAACGTCGCCAACACCAACTCCTCAAAACCTAATCTCCTGCCACTCGCGCCGATGGGATGCGTCGGACGGACGCAGGTGGGGGCGGGACAACACAGTTCACCAATATACAGCTTGAAGATGCTTGAAGCTCATAGTGGGGGGCACTTGCTTTTGCACCCCCACACTATTTCTGAGACTCAAGACAGATGCAAAACAACAAAAAGAACAGAACATAGAACCACATAGAACCATGGAAACCAAACAGATGATGAAATCAATGAAACTCTTCGTTCGCAAGTCTTCGTTGGATCGAGGTTGGAATTCGTTTCGCTCAAGAGCACCAAATCCATTCTTGTGACGATCGAAAGGGCCCTCTCGCACCATCAAATGGATTGCAGCATATTGCAGCAATCGAAATGTCGGTCCGCACATTTGAGCACTATCTCACGCGAAAACCACCTATCGGCTTGTTCCTAGTGACTTGGCAGCTGACCTTTTTTTCCCGGCCAACGGAACGTCCAACTGAAGACTGCCCCCTGCCCCCCTCCAGCAGTAGAACCTTGCTTACCAAGCGGCTGATCAAACAGTTTGGTTCCTTCAGTGCCACGCCCACGCCACCCCGCCCAGTCACCGGGCGTGGACCGTCCAGTCACCGGAACGCGCTGAGGTTCGTTGTGCTGGACCAGTGGCGTTGGGACTGGGCGGGCTTTCATGACGCGCACGTTGCGATGCCCACGGTCCAGACGCTTGCAGCACGAGGTGCGGGACGAAAGAGCAAGAGCTGATGTTTGCTGAAGGGAGGGATGATGGGATCATGATCGGATGTATCAAGCATAATGTACGACTTTGTGCTACTGTCATTTGCTCTTGATTTCAGAAATCAATGATTGTTGGTTGTTCATATGGGATGACTTGAGTTTATTACCTTTAGTTGTTGTCTTAAGATGTCATTCGTCATGGGACCTTTTTGCTCCACTCGTGTTGCGCAGTTGGATTCTTCCAAAAGCCCGAGGTCTTCTAAAGTGGAAAAAGCTACCGTATGACCCACAGCCAAGAGGGCAGGAAAACTGTATGAAGCAACTGAGTCCTGTTTGGTTTGAGGTCCGGTCACCTTGTTTGCTTTCAGCGCACGACGGTTGCCTTTGAAGGAGTGACATGTTGATACCACATCTCGGAATCAATCACACGAGCGAATTTGGATACAGTAAGTTGTGATAGGGTGGAAGTTCGATGCAGGTTAAGAGCATTGAGTATCATTGATATGGATGCCCTTGGCCACAGCTTACTTTTCATATTGCAATTCTTCAAGTGTTATGTTAATGTTTTGTTTTGTGACCTTCTTGGTGAATGAAACGAGGCTTGCTCAGGTTCACCTTTGGCTGTGTGACATGAACACGGAGTGCAAGACGGGAGGTCCTGGCGGACTGATCAACTTAGGGTCCTTCCCCCTGGGTCAAAGCCAGGCCAACGTCCAAGCCAAGTCTGGCATTCCACCAGGGTCAGCATGTTCGCTTGTTGGATAAAGGTCAAGTTTGCTGCAGTCTATGGAAGATACGTGGGTTGGACAGGGGCCTTACTAGGCCGAACTGGGGGACAAGTGGCGAAAAGCCCAATTTATGTGGTGGGGAAGAGGCAGTCACCAAGAGACAGCAAAAGACTGCTGTAATTATTGCAGCCCCTACTCATAGCTGCCACCACCTTGAGGTTGATCCAGCAACTGTTGCAAGTCATGTTGACCTTTCCTCATTCGTCATGGCTCACCATCCCCTTCCTACCAATTCCAGGCGTAAGCTTCATGCGGGCTTACACCCCGTCGCCCCAATGTGCACCCGCTCGGAGCGCCATCGCGGCGGTACCTCGAAAGCAACGGCAGGGGGGTGGGTTTTTGGGCGCTTGGTGGCAATTTTTCTGCCCCTTCCAATGGCGCTTTCGGCATCTCCCTGGAGTTTCAGCACGGTGCAGAACTCAGAATCCATGGAACAGGTGGAACCGCAGTTGGCTCCGGAAAATTAATGAATGGACTACAGTACTAAGGAGGTCAATCTACTAGGGTTTACGGCAATGCTCTTGCGGACGGAGTTCGTCGCTTCCTACGCATCCCTTGTTCATATGAGCGGGTGTGGTAGGAGTAGGAACCTAACAGCTACCGGATAACAGGGTTTCAACAAATCCAACGCAAACTGTGTACGCGCAGTATCTCGCATGGAACGTAGATTAGTGTTCACACGCAACTACAGTAATTCAAGGCGGATCGACTCTGGGCGGCCAAGACAAGAGACGAATACTGTAATGCCTGCGAAGCTTCTCATTAAAATCCAATGTTTTGACGGAAACGCAGTTCCGGTAAGAGTTTGCTTGCGTTTGGTTTCGGGAACATACAAGCTTCTCTTGGGCCCTGCTTGTTGGCCTAACCTGCCTATTAAATAAGACAAGAAATGCACAAGATGCTGTCCAAGTACTCTTTGTTTTTGACTGTATTTTCGGCCTCGACATTGACCCTCCTTTCCATACTAATGCACCAATTTCCATTCCAGGGGTGCCTAATCATCTCCATATATACAGTATATATATATATAGCTGCCTTACATTTGCTCTTGGCAAAGGTGGGGATCAATTTCTGACGGCTCATAGTTTCTACTGTTTGGACAATGTTTCGCATGTTTTCAGCTTGAAGGCGCGCGGAACGTTTTCTTGGTGGGAGCAACTGAACTTTCTGGGAAGCAACTGCGTATGGAATTGTTTTACCATTTCCTGGCACCCGGAATCACCTGGATATGCATATGCATAAGTGTTGAGTCAAAGAAATGGCAGGTTCTAGCCAGCTAATACCTGGGTCTACATCAGAATGGGCGGGAACCCAGCGGAGGCCATGACAACGTTCGGAAGATCTTCCATAACAACCTGTGCAAGGTGGCAAGCCCATACCAGGGTCATCCGGGCTCTCCGGGTTTGGGCGGAAAAAACGGTCGACGAGTCGAAGAACCCGGCGGGCCTAGGTCCGAGAGTACAAGGACATGTGGGTGAAGAACAACACTTACCACTACGTCTCGGACGCTCGTGGAAGAACGGGGTGAAAGAACGGCCATCGCCGCGTTGGCGCGCCAACGGCGCAGATGGCGGCGAATGCCCCGGGGTCGCGTTCCGCTGGTTTGATCAATGGATGTTTATTATGGAACCAGAATGGAACGAGACATGCTGTGGTTCTTGACATGGCGTTTTGATGGACAATCGGTTTTCTTTATACTTTCGGGAGCCATTTGTACCAGGCGTTTGCGACTCGACATGTGAAGATCCACATGCTGGATTTCAGCATGTCGAAGGCCCATTTCGCTTGGCATCTCTGTTAGCAAGCCATGGGTAGGGAGTGTGGGTCACATGCTGAAAGCTGCTTGGGTCGGGGAGATGATTGCCTCCTCATGGTGAAACAAGGAGTTTGAAGACCTTTTTTGAAGCATTTCTTGCTTGAAAACTGTGAAACATGTAAAAACTGTGAAAACCGTTTTTCTCATCGAGCGCAGTCGTGGGTGCATGCAATCAACAAATCACTCAGCCCAGGAGAAGATGACACCAACGTTCATGTCTGTGCTCCAACAGGCAGGCTACACCACAATGCTAGCCGGGAAGGATCACTTGTGCCTTGGTGGGTAGCCTCAGGTTACTTAGGGTTGTGGCAGTGGCTGTGGTATGCTGTGGTACTTTGGCTGGGAAGCATTCATCATCACAGTGAAGCCTGCGCTCAGCTGTAGTGAGCTCTCCAAGCAGGTGCTGTTCCTGGCGTAAATCGTTTAGCACTGGACTAGAAGATGCTTTGATGCTGTGTTTTGTCCAAGCGCGGGCTTGCTATTTCAAAAGGGAACAGACTTGGAAGAGTGGCATGTTTGTTGCAATTATCCCAGGTTGCAGTTCCTGGAGGTTGGGGGAAGGGGGCGGTGGCAGGGGATTGTTCTTGACCTAGTGCTTGTCTCTCCCCTGGAACTGGTCAAGGCGTGTGAACATACCTGGCAGCTACTTTCCTTCCAATGGAAGTTCCGTTGATCCTTGGAGCCGCGGAGCTCCACTCAATCTGAGGACCATTGCACCCATCAGTGGCCCCTTCCAGTCCACTGGGATGGAGGCTTTGGGAGTGGATAGAGACTTAGAGCCAATCAGTTGTTCAGTTGTTTGTTGGTGGTTGTTTCCCCTGGCCCCAGCAGAGACTGGCATCTCTAAAAGCCTGAAAATGCCCCAGGCAATGAGTTGTGTTGGTCGTTGTCCGTGGGATCTTCTGGTGGTGTCCCTGTTTCGACACCCAGATGGACCCCGAATGTCGACCACTTGTACACATATGTATATAATATATATATATATATGAATACATATGGATTCATGTTGGCTTCTAGGAGTGCAAGCCATCAATGATTGATGCGCAGTTCCTTTTGAGGTTTCCCCAAAAATGGACCGTGTGCAGTTGCAGACACACACACACACAAGAGCACACAAGAGCCCATGGCAACAGAATCCTGAATATCTTGAGAAGCTATTTGTCGACTACCCCCGTGTATGTGGCCCCTCTTACTATTTAGACCCTAGACCCAAGAAGCACTGCTGTGAGGCGGGAAAGAGCCCAGGGAGTTCCTCTTGTAAGACCTCAGGATGAGCTTGGCTCAAAGTCCAGTTCTGTAAAGCCAATGTGACAAGGGAAGAGGTAGTCTATTGCTCGCGGGGTCAGTTCTTGAGAAACACTATTTGGCTTCCTTCCAGATCTTGGATCGTCCAAGGATTCCACCGTGCCCTCGACAAGTACAGCTTTTGTCAAGGCATTTTTGGCCGTTATGTTCCGGTGGATGGCTACAGCGATTACTTGAATCCTGACGAAGAGATGGGAACTTCGAGTTCACTTTGAACCCTTAGGCTGCCACAAGCCTCGCACAAGCACCTTTGGAGGGAATCCAGGGAGGTTGTGGTTCAAAAGTGTTCATTTGGTAGTGCAGCGCTTATACTCTGTCAAATACTTTGTGACGTTGTGTGATCTAGGGTGAAACGCAATGAATGAGTTGACTTGGACTTAAATGTTTCCATACGTCTCATGCGTGGGTGCTTTGAAGCACTCATGAACACCGATGGGGTGTGTTCCCCTCAGGGATTGAAATACATAAGAGTGCCCCTGGTGATTTGGGAGAATCCAGTCCTTGTTTGGAACCACCCTGGCCCAATTGGAGGTGACAAAGTTCTCAATGCATGAGGACAAGATGACAAACAGAACTGGAGCAACATGAATATAGGATGATAAATAGGTGGAATGCTGAAACTACACCCCATAGGTGCCTAGCACTGCCTTTGGGCAGATGACCCTGTCGTACAGGATCAGCTACTTGCCATATTGAGCTTAAAGATTCTCTAGGACTTACTTACAAGTTGGAGAGCCCACTCCTCGTCCTCCTCCTCCTCCTCCTCCTACATCATACAACTCATTCTTCCTCGAGGAGGTCCAATGACACCTGTTTACAGGGCAGGTTGGATGTGGTGTCCATTTCGTTCGATTTCCCTTTTTCTGAAGGAAGAAGTTGGGGCATCCACCTGAGATGATTCCCACTGCTGAATGTGATATGTGATGTGAGTGTGGTCGCCACGGGGGATTTCCCAAGTTCCATAGATGCAAGAGAAGATGATTGATGACCTGACGAGTCTGACATGTGCATTTATAGCATGTATACTTTTGGTCACTGGTTCACCAGGTCCAGCCCAGCCACTGCCAGTCGTTCATCCCAGGACTGCGAAGGGCATTCTTCAAGCCCAATGCAAAGCTTATGGGGGCATTGGAGCCTTGGAAGTTGTTTGCAATGAGGCCCCGGACGCCAAAAAAGCACTCAAACCTTCAAACAGAGTGGATCTTAAGTGGTCCAGTTTCCCAGAGCAATCAAGGTCTCACACAACCTTTAATTAGATCAGCACGTAGCTACACGTAGCTGCGTGATTTGTTATTCCAGCCGAGGATATCCTTTCACTGGGGCAGAGGGTGCATGTTGCAACGAGACTCCGGTCTTCGATTGGGCCTTCCCTCAAGAGAATGGCTTCAGGCGACGCTCAGAGATCGGCCACTGGAGACTAGTGATCGGCCGCCGGATTTCTTGGCCCGTCTCAGCCCTGACCGGTTTTTGCACCTGTTTTCTGGGCATCCTTGAAGAAGCACACGGACTTTGAATTGCGTATGTATATATATATATTATATCATATACATTGCCTATATGGGCTGCTGGCAGATGCTGGCATAGCGGTTTTAGTTGTGTTTTTCTTGTGGAAGGAGTATTGATGATGTTTGCCCTTTGAGTTCAGCTAGCGCAGACACCTGGTCGATCGGTGGCGTTTTGCTGTTGAGGACTGAACCTGCCCTGTGTGCTTGGAGCGGGTTCAATGGATGAGCAAAATGTAATTCAAGATGAAACGGTTCTTACACCCTGCCGTTCTCGACACCTTATTTCCAAAATTCTAAGCCATGCTTGAACACCAAATGAATGAGTGTTCCTCTACCCACCCAGCAGATGGGCTTTGGTCCAAATGATATATTATGTCACCGAATGGATCGGCGCCTTTACAGCGCAGCAGTTTCCTCCGCTTCCAAGAAGACGGGTTTGCATGCGCAGATGTCAGGTGCATGATGCCCAACCAGCTGGATGAAGAGCATAGCCCTGATGCTTGGGTGCGACGAAGTGCACAAGAGCTCTTGGATTCCCATCAGCCACTTGGCTCCAAAAAGGTGCTTGCTGGTGTTCCCCCCCCACCCGTGGCAGAGGTTCGAGGGAAACGAAACAGATACACAGAAGCACAAACATAAGCCTTACATGGGTTCCTCCGGGCACCTGGATTGAACAGAATATGGCACCGCTGCTACTGCTCCCTCCTGCTGCTGCTGCTCCTTCTGCTCCTGCTTTTGCTGTTTGAGTTGGCCGAAGAAGCACCAGTTAGCGCCTGATTTTGTCAACCCTGATTTTGTCAACCCATGAGTGGTAGGTTTTGTGGACCAAAGGATGTGGTCATGAGATGCCGCTGTTCATACCACAATCACCGATTGGCACTTGGGAATCCGAGAGGAGTGGAACGATCCCTGACAACTGGTGACCCCTCCGAGTCAGTCCGCAGAAACTCCGTTCAAGGCGTTTGTGGTCCTGTGAGATGATTCACACCTTGGCTTTGAGCCCAATTGTAAATCAAGCGTCAAGTGAGTCAGGTTCATATCACTGAAGTCACCAGGTCCTGACTGTCGCTTCCCCACGCTGTTTCATGGCGGCCATCGCTTGTGACCGGCCCACTGCCTGCTGAGGAAGGACCATGGTGCGACTCTTGGAGAAGTCGTTGGATGTATCGATTGAATACCATTGGACTCGTGCTGGCTGGCGAATAAGTTCCCCGGGACCCATTTGCAAAGTTTGCATTGCAGATCTATGCAGATCTATAGCGACTTATTGTACACAAAAAAGTAATTGGGCCGAGTTGAACCAGCAAGGCTGCATTCTTAGCGTCCTCATTGTTGGTTGGTGGATGTTGGTGGTTCATGTGCTATGAAGCTACTATTCTCAGACTTGTCAGAACTTGTCCATCAACAACAATACGCAACCAAACTAGTGCCAGCACCTGCTTTACCAATGCCATGTAAGCCAAGAAGGTCACTTCGAAGCTACGTGTCTAGCAATCCGCATTCCGCAATCGCCGTGTTGTTTGACCCTTTGGAGTGCTTTTGCGTGAGTGGCAGATGTCAGTGTTTGGCAACGGGAGACGGAGACGTGTGACCTGCAAGATTAGGATGCTGGTACCGTTGATCCTTTTTGAACCGTTGATCACGGGTCTGAGCATGTTCCTGCCGATTTCTCAAAAAGACATGTACCCCCTTACCCCAACACACCATTTTGTTAAGTTTGGACTGACAGTTCGGTGCAGACCGTACCTGGAACTCAGGAGCCCCTGGTTTCTGCAAGTGAACTTCCTGGGTCCTCATCCACCTTTCATCCTCAAAAGCTCCACCGCCCTGCCATCGACCTCACTGCCGGAAGCCATCGATGTGTCCGGGTCGGAGCAGCAGCCCGTGACCTGAGCAGCAGCCCATGGGGGGAGCGTCGCGCGGACGGCGAACGTCATCCTTTCAAAGCACCCGCCAAGGATATCACTAGTGTTGGCTTCAAGGAGGTCACATTCCTGCCGGAATGCTGTCCACATTTTTGGGGCATAATTACGAGAAGAACGGAGAATAGGATTTTGGTTAATCTTGGTCATAGTTCACACGCTATTTATTTGAAACACCTTTGTGCATTGCGCATCTATATCTACAGAGTTGAATTGGGTCAGCATGGTGAAGTTCCAGAAAAATCATATACCTATATTTGTCAATCAAATGCTGAGATGCTGATTCGAGCCCTCTGGAGGCCCTCAGTTGGATTTAGATCCCTTGAGTTGCATCATGTCCGATCGGATCTTGCGGAGGTGTTTGATCTCGACCTACATGGGCTGCAAATGGCACTTGGGACCGACCAGATGCACCGGTTTTGAACGCACCGGATGGCTGGATTGGCAACGAATGGGGTTGAGATCCCTAGTAGTTTGGGTGGGGGGCACCAGTATTTCCCTCAGGTGTGTGGAACGTTTGTGGAGTATGAGCACTCAAGAGGTATATCAGTTTGAAACATGCTTAAATACTAGGGACCCTTTGGCCGACCACTAGTTCATCATCCACTAGGATGAACTAGGCACCTTTGGTCCGAAATGCTTCACCTAAGGTCAGAGAAGCCACGTGAGGAACACGTGAGAGGTTTCATGGACGAAAGACTCACAGCCATGGCAAGCCTGATGTGGTGGACCTGGACAGCTTGCCATTGCGTTTGTCCTAAAGATCATGGTCTCTACAAGCAACCAACCAATGTGGGCAATTAGGACCTCTCAAAAAAATGCTGAGGTCAACTAGCTCTCAATCGCATTAGAGTGAATAGTCCCTTAAATTCTTCCCAGAACCAGCGTGGAGGCCCCCCGGGCTTGCTGATGCTTGCTGTTTTGGTGCTCCCCTGTCCGCGCATTGCCGTTGCCAGAGGTCCCAAATATTTTCCATGGCTATGTGAACATCACTGACAGCCGCAAGCAGTATGCCGCGCTCCTGCAGCAAATCGATGAAGAGCTCGAGGAGTGCGACCGACAACCACGCACTCATCGATCGAGATTCTCGGGCGCGAAATGCGAAGGATCGACTCGGTGCGAGTGAGTAAGGTGACCCTGGACCATCCTGGAACCCAGCGATGTTGGCGAAAGTCGCCCAATTTGGTGGCAACTTACCATGGCTGACCTTTTCGATCTGTGGATATTTATTCAGTGCTGCACTCTGCCCTGTTCACGGTTGGACCCTTTCATGCCTGGTGTGAAAGAATGCATTCTGCGCTGGGAGGACCCGTCTTCTACACATGTCGGAATTTCAAGGAACAGGAGCAGTTTCGAGTAATTAGGGAGGAGAAATCGGAGGAAGAGGATGTGGCCAATGTACCGTTGGAAAGACACAGAACCAAAGTTTTGCCGAATGTGATGAAGTCATAACATGAAACATCATGAAACCATGAAACCCAAAATTGTCCAAAGACGTCTGGGGTAGATCCCTGATCTGAAGACTACTGTACCTTCATCGCTGATTGTGTGCACTTTCTACCCAAAGATCTACTATACCAGTGGGCACTCCATTGGGGTTCTACGTTATTTTACCCCGTAAGCGTGCACCACAAGAAACTCATGGTACACACATACTTGCGTGAAAATCACCAACATGCTCCTCTGTCACTCCACCGTTGGAGTTGGCAACAGCAGTGAAGGAGCTGCTAAAGACAGTGGATCAGATGCCGGGGGAGACTGTGGTGGCCGTCATCGGAGATCATGGCGAACACCTAGGCCGTCTTGGCAACCTCAGGATGTACCATGTGTATCCAGATCCATGTGTAATATAGTTATTATATAGACCTTTCTGATTTCCGAGGCGGCAGGGTGATTTTGGCTCATTTTCGTTGGTGTGGCTTTCTGATTGGTTAAAGTAGCCTCCAATCGGTGTAGATGATACGGAAGCAGCTAATCACAAAGCTTACATGGTTGGAACTCTAGAAGGCCAATATTCTGCTCATGTGGCCTGTGATGAGCTCCCAGCAGCGTGGGGAACCAGACACTCCAAGCCTAGAGGATCCATGAGAGGTTTGCAGATTGCGTCAAAGAATCCAGATATTATATATATATATCATTATGGTATCATACAATTAAATGTATATAATGCTATGACTGCTATGATGTCAAACCATCCTGCTAGAAGCTTGCAGGATACAGGGTATCATGGATTCATACTCTCATAAAATCAATGCGTTGAGTAATAACGAAATTAGTTATATATATATAATATAACTATATGGCGATGGAGAGGGCGGGAGAGAGAGAGAGAGAACTATATGTCATTTATCACACGCTAGTATAGAAGCACAAAAGATCTCAGACCGAAAAGCAATGCCATGAAAGGAGACACAAAGAAGTGAGCATGCCCTTGTTAGACATTTGGAAAATCATTGTCCAAGAGTCATAGCATCCACGCCGGTGTCCATTCGATGGTCATCATGGGCCCTCTTGGCGACAAGGCGACCATGGGCAGTTTGGCAAAACCAGTCCCTTTGAGCCTGCGGTGCATGTCCCATTGATCATTGCAGGCGAGGGGGGTGTCCATCGTGTGATCAGGTTCACACGCGCCGTTTTTGCTCGCACGCACGGGGGGGATCGGGTTCAAAGAACTTGGGCTGCCCGAAGCGACCTAAAAGACTTATACAATTTGTTGATATTTGTTGTTTGCATCGCTTCTGGGGTTTGACTTGTTTGGTTATAATTTCAGTGAACATCAATGTGGTTAATAACGTCAATGCGTCCTTCTGAGGCGCGCCTTTTCGTCACAACGTGAAGGAGTACCACCCAGTGTCAACCATTGATGTGCCCATGACATTCTTGGATGCTTGATGAGAGATGAGAGTTCAGATAGAACGGGTTGCCATCCGTTGTTAGAAGGTGTGGCTTCGGGCCGGGTGGGCCCAGGTCGGCGGAATAGGGCGGAATGGTAGCCAGACAATACAGCAGTGTCGGAAACGAAGCTTGTTTGCTGCCTTGCTCCTGTTGAGTCCTGGCGCTGGGCTGTGCTACTAAGGAATTGGCCGGCATTCTTCCATCTCCCACAATGCAGGGATATTCCCTCATGCCGGCCTTGACGGGGGTGGGTACACTGACACGACCCGCTGCGCCTCTACCAGAACTACAAATGTTTTGGGTGCGATATGTGTGTGTGTGGTGTGTGTTTGTGCTCAGTTTGTTTCCGGATTGTTTACTTCAAGATGTATGAGATTCCATGGAATGCTTACGCATTTTTGACATTTTTTGTTTGTTCTGAGTCACTTAATCTTACTTGAGTTCTCACAGTTCTCACTCAGGTGATGTCCGGCATGAACTATTGGCAGGATGTGATTCCGGATGTGAACTACTCACACGGACGAGTCCAGTTCGATTCTATGAATTGATTAACGGGCACTGCACCCTTGGTGCTGTTGGTCGACCGTCACCTTCCCGGACCAGGTGGCACCTCCGGTGACGTTCACCTACGAGATCAATGGGGAAGCCCTGGTTTGCTGGCTTTCTGAGATTACAAGAGCCCGCACTCCCCATCGCTCCCTAAGTTGCACTACATCGTTCGCCCTTAAGGATGCTCCCCAGTTCTCCCCACTTCGACTCACCTTTTCTCCCGGAGCCGTGGCGTTGTCGTCCCAAGGACTCGGCCGCGGCGTTGTTCGGCACGGACTTCTTGAAGCTGATTTGTTGCCCCGTGGGTTGCCGCTTGGTTTGACGCAGCGCTTCGTTTGAAAGCGCTGCGGAGCTTGCAGATGGGTGGGACAATTCAGGAGATGAAGCATAAGGTGAAGCAAGGAGCCGGTTGCATGTGAATTTTGTGCTAAGACCAATATAATATAAAGACTTGAGAGGAGGAGGCGATGGCAGGATGAGGGGATGATGGAGCTTTCTGAAACCTTCATCCTTCCCTTCACCCTCCTTTACCCGTTTGGACTGAACGTGAAGTGCGTTGATGTCATGGTCACTTTTTGAGATATTCTAAGTTTCCTCCAGATGCTGGTATTCTAATCTTGCATATCCGGATTTAAAATGAGATGGCCCGCGTCTCCAGCATGCTACAGAACATACAATAGCCAAAAACTCAGAGGATGAGAAGGAGAAGCAGGGAGAGTCTAATTCTTTAGATTCTGAAGATGCAGAGGAAAAAATGGAACAAACAACAATATTCATCCCTGTTCAGTCTCCTCATGGGAGTGAAACACGCCCCTGACTGCCGAGCTTCCGCTTCGCTTCCCACCGTGTTTGAGGCCGCAAGGGCGGCAGCCTGCTGCCCACGATGGTAGCTCCACAGGTCGCGCTGATGAACGTGACGCAGGGCGAGGACGTTCATCGCTTTGAAAAGGACATCCTGAACCAGCCAGCCGGACATGGAGTGCAGGACCCATCTATGCAACAGGATGGAACTGATGTGTACTGTGCTGCTAGGGTGGGTTTGTGGTGTTGTCCTTCCCAGTGGAAAGCTCGGGAGATTGAGTTGATATTAGATGCATTCCTGAGATGAATGGAGAAGCGCAGCAAAGCAGGCTTGCTACCCGAGACCTTCAGTTGTTGTGTTGTTCTTTTTTCCACGACCGTTTGGCAATACAAGCTGCTCCGAGAAATACTAGTTAGGTGCTAGAGGCCTCGCACCCGAGAAATAAAGGATGATGTGCCAAGAACTCATCCCAACATAGATACGCAAGTTCTGTGTTCAACGAGTTGTTTGTTTGTGCATGGTGATGCAGAGAGGATTTGGAGGTGTGGCCCCCGACAGGAATCATTGTTAGAAGCCCTGCTCCCCGTGCATTTTTTGTCGTTGTATATCGTTGTTAATGAGACCAGTCCTCGGTGTTGCCGAGTTGTGCTGGGCAGGAAGCGTTGTACCTCGCAACTTGGTACCGAAAGGGTTTGTGTCACTGACCGGAGGTCGATGGGACCTGCAAAGGGAGTTGTTTTTCTCTTTATTTGTTTTCTTTTGCTTAAAGCCCGCGCCTACTCAATCAAGTAAAGGAGAGTAAGCTACTAGGCTAAGTTAGCTTCTAGTAACTGGACGCAGGATAGCTCATGCTCGCACGAATGATTTGGTTCTAGATTTTGAGGGAAACTTCCGAATCCTCCCCTCTATCTATGTCAATGTCATGTTGATTGGAACTTCTCTCACATCTCAGATCAGAGGAGGGGAGATGGATGCAGATCCGATCCGCATCGAAGGATTCCTGGGACGGTCACCATGAACCCCATCAAAGCCAGGGGGCCGTGAAGCAAAGATAGACCCTCAGAGACGTACAGACCTTGATGGAGGAAGCATTAATGCTACCTACTCCGAGGTTCATGTCCAAGAGCTCGCTGTAAGTTTCTTTGTTCTGTGCTGCCTTCAGGCTGCGTTCCTGAGCAAAGACTTCCAAGAGGTGTGCATGCCTTTGCTTGAGGCCTTGGCAGTGTGACCAAAAAGATGCGCCACAGCTCATGCATGCGCCACACGCCCAAGATCCGGAGTTCGGGTGTCACCGACCGACCCACCGCCCGGTTTTTTCTTTGAGACGGTGAATGCCGGGGCTTTCTTCGGCAGTAGGGGGTCGGTCACCCTTCCAAGTCTAAGCCTTTGACATTCGCATGCCGGGTCAAATGTCTTCAGAGCAGGTGCTGCTGCCAGGAGTTCTGCCATGAAGAGAAGAACCAGGCTGCTCTACCTTCGCTACCTTTTCGGCTCTCAAGTAGCATTAATGATGATATTCAAAAGACGAGGCACACATGTCCAGCAATGGGTATGTTCAATCATTTCGTAATATGCACTTGTCGTTGCTCACCCAAGCCGTTCACATGGTAACAACGCTGCGGCACCCAAGCGATGTATTGGGAGTCTGAAGCCAAATCGTCCAGGGAAAATAAAGGAACCCACATGCTGAAATATTCAGCTATGTATTCACAAGCCGAAGTCACTCCAAGAACTCATAAAGAAGGCTGATGTTCAAGAAGACAACAAATTGTGAGTGCTGCGGGGTTGAGGTTTTAACTAGTGGAGGGGTTTCAGTCAGGGATCCTGTCGCTTAGTTGTGGCTTAATTCATGATGGCTTGGCTTGCGGAGTCTGAATATCTACCCTCGACTGAAGGGGTGGTGTTTGTAAACAGCTGGTGATTACAAGATAGCAAGTAAGAGCTGGGATATGGTTCACATCCTCACCGAAAGGGAATTCGCAAGCTGCTTGGACCCTCCAAAGTCAGCCCCTCGTCCGTCCGCCATGTGACATGGCTCCTCAGGAGGGAACAAAGTAGGGCGGAGTGACGAGCTAGAGACCAAGGTCAAAATATGTCAAAATAAGGTTGTGCAGATCGTGTGATCCACTGACTTGATGATCACTTGGTTGTTGAAACCACTTGATTGTTGAAATGGAACAAACAGCTATTGATTCAACCTCTTAGGGTCGCAATGGGAGTTTTGCATGTCGAAGCTCCAATCCTTGGGAAGTAATATCAAGATGTGATTGCGAAAACCTACCACTCACGGCTTATCATGTTCCGATGCTGCCTGGAAATTCGTCTAGAAAAGGCTTTTATCAGATGCAGATATAGCTTCTACAGGATTGGTGATGAGGAGAGCTGTGAAGGTTGTGAAGGTAGTTCGACGCTATCGATGTCGTTTCGCCCTAGCTTGAGCCAACTTCTTGCTGCACCCTATGCCAAAATTGGGCCGCAGCCCAAACCTATGTGTTTGATGGTTTTGGGGGCAAAGCTTTGTGGCCTTTCACATGACTCATCGCCCTCACCCAGTCCACGCGTTGCATGTCCCACCGGAGCACCGGTCGGACCTCAAAACCGGCCGTCACTCGCAGGACTTCGCGAAGGTCTTGGAAGCTCGTCTCAAAGGGAAGCTGACAGACATCACCTTTGCGCCTCGGCAAAGTGAGCGAAACAGTGGGGGGGGTGGGGAGAGGCCCAAGAAGATGGCAGAGTGCGACAGGCAGGAGATATAGTCTCATCATGAGATGGTCTCGAGTTTCATCAGACACAGGGAGACAGGTGAACAACACCCCAAAAATGTTTTGATGTTATGATGCAGAAGGACAGTTCTTTGGTAGGGGTGACTTGGTTTCCCTAGCACAATTGGTCATTGGAACATGCCACTCGAGGGTTTTCCACTCTTAGTGTTAACTGTAGTCCGCATAGGTTGCGCATGTGCAAGCCACTTTGGAGGCGTGTCAGCTTTTCTTGGGCTGATGCATATTGCAGTGACAGGTGCAAAAGGAGGATTCATTCGCCTTGCGCACTCTCCTACTATAGGCTCTATTAGGTGCAAGTTCCTGTCATCATATATTATATATATCAAGTAGGGCGAGGAAGAATAACACAAAATTACCTTGCTTGCAGCCTTAAGACGTCCAGAAAGATACCAAGCCGTCCCAGCTGCGTGGGAGGCCCCAGTTGGAGATTGAATTTCTTGGCATTTCTCGCCACACGTTGGCAGCCTTGTTTTCCTGGTTTTGCGGGTTAGATTTCGGCAGACCCGTCTCAAAAAGAGATAAGCACCAAAATCTGCCAGCAGTTCTCCGTTGCATTTCGCTTCTACAAGGGTTCCTATCCTCCAATGAGTTGCATTGGTACTTCAAAGTTTCTCAACGTTCCCCGCACATGTCGCTTCGGCACCATCGCGAAACTGAGGCCCGGCCTGACCCCCAGATGCCAAGGGCGGTGGCGAAGGGTTCATTGGTGCTTCTGTGATTTTTAAGAGCTAGCTTGAGGTTGTGAGGCTGTTATCCTTCGAACAGCTGTTAGATCATAATTTACTCCAATTGGGAAACTCCCAAGTCTGTAGCGCTAGGAATGGTAACGAGCGATATTTCCTGCAGATCCCTGGTTGTTTTTGATCGTGCTTAGTGGCTTAGTGACTGGAAAGGGATGCTATTGTCTCCCAAGCAGAAAGAAGAGTTTGGATATAGGCCGCCATCAAGGCAAACCGCCCACATCACTCAACTGTTTGTTCATGAGGTGCCACGCAAGGTGTTACCATGCGTGCCACTTGAAATTGGTGATGAAACACTGGTCTGACCTGGGCGAGTTGCCGGACCTCCACACGTTCACCGCGCCTCTCCAGGTCAGACCACTTTGTGCTTTTGGCCGAGCTGTTGTCATCATCTGCCACTTGAAAGCAGGTTGTTTGACCCTTGGGTGTGGCCCACCTGACCCCACACTGACCCTTGGGTGTGGCCCACCTGGCAACACCTAAGAGCAGGAGCAGAAGAAGGCTACGACAACACATATCACATGCAACTGGAAAGCCTGTAGCCTTTAGATTTGTCATGCTTTCGAAGAATTGAGGAACGTACAGTCTCCTAGGCCCCTAGGGCTGATGCCTTTTGATTTCGATGAAACTGGTCGGAGTGTAGAAACCATGTAGAAAGGGCCTGAATAACCCCACAGCAATGAAAAAAAACAAAACATCCAAATGAAAACCAAATCCTCCCAAAATCCACTCTTTTTTCCTTGACGCTCACATATCAAAAGATATATATATATATATACACTTCTATAGATTCTATAGCTCGCTTTTCTTTGGATGGTCTTCCCCCAGCACCTCTCCAAGAACAGGGCCGGAGCCACCTCCCCCGCCAGGACCTCCGCGAGGCCTTGCGCGCGGAACACTTGGACGGCACGGTGACCGAGCCACGATCGTTGGAGAACAACGCCACGCCCGAGGAGCCAGCGGAGCATCGGTGGAGGGAGTGGAGCATCGGTCGTAGCGATGCCAGGAGCTAAGTTCGTAGCGAGGAGCTAGGAGGCGTCCTTGTTTTCGGTTCGTAGTAATGCCAGGAGCTACGTTCGTAGTGTCCTTGCTACTAGCGAGGAACAGTAGGCATGAATTTGGGAGTTGGAAGTGTGGTGAGGAAAAACGCCCGTGGGTGAAGATGAAGGAGGGGAGTGGCTCAGAGTCCAGAGATGGGCAGGGCAGAAGTGATATTGTGTATGAGCTGAAGTTTGCAAACAAAAACGATCAAACAAGATCGAATCCCTTCGAAAATCAAAAGACAACCCCCCTTTTGCACCAGAGTCTATCTACATACGTGAGGATTGCCATTTTGGGGTATGTGCACATGTGTGGCCTACACATTGACAATCAAGATTGGTTCTCGTCCGAGAGCAGCACACAGCAACTGAACATGGCCTCCTAAGAGAGCTCCGGCTTACCTTTTGCGTAGAGTTCGGGAAGGTACATTGTTCTTGTGAATCGGACTGGGCTGCGTGTTCTTCTTTGTTGCAAGTTTCCACTGGCACCTGTTCAGGGGATGCAGCCGGTACTGTTTCATAGATCCTCACACGGTGCCTCTCATGAGCTACATTCTCTTTCCGGCTCGAGCTTCGTCTTGCAGCAAGGAGCTACCATTGTCCGTGAAGCTCACCTCAGAGGTCGAGAAGTTTATGGCGGAGGCTCCGAGCCCGGCGGTGGGATGTTCAGTGGATCGAGGTTCAACGGCCAGACTGACCCATCGCAGGCACAGTCAACGGATCAAGGAGATGGCCAGTTGCATTGGAGTTCATATGATGCGTGTTGAGGCTTTGCTATACACTTTCAGGTCTCTTTACACAGCTTCGATCACCTTTGCCAGTGGTATGGCTTGAAATCGGAAACCCTGAAACATAGACCAGGTCGGGCACCATGGGCCATGATCCTGGATGAACGGTGGTGCTGTATTCCGGGCTTTGAGTATGTCCACCTCTCAGTTTGGTTCATGATCCATATCCATCCCATGGAGTGCACGGCTCGCAGGTGGCCAGTGCCAAGACCTTGGAGAATGAACCCATCTTCGAGTATTGGCCGGATACTGGCTCTGGGAGTCTGGCACGCCCAAGCTGAGACGCATCGATGCATGCGGTCAGGTCGGTTTCCAAGCGAACTCCGGTGATGTCGGTCCAGAGAACTCCAAGATCCTTCAGGAAGTCTGTTGAAGGTACATGAAAGTACATGATGAGTGGACTGAGTGGACCGACAACAGGGTTCGAGTGGACCTTCAGGGTCCTCCTCAGCATGGTCATTGACTTTCTTTAGTGTTTTGGGAGGGCGATGGACAAGGGACATGCTCACGAAAATGGCGAGACTTGGGCATGTAGGAGGATGCGCTTTTGTTTGGATTTTAGTGGACAGGAGGTGCGAAAAAGTCTTGTTGATGAGCTGCATCGAGAAGTCCCCTTTGTTGCGGGGATTGGTGACCGAGAGGGGTTGGATCACTACAGTGCACTCGTTTGACAGATGGAAGATTAGCATGGAAGAACCATTTCTGTGCTTCAAGAGGGGTTTGAGCCGTCACCATTAGACTCATTAGACAGCTGCATCCTTCACATGTTGTCGCTTATTGACCCCAGTTTGCAATGTTTGGTCTTCACTCTTGGGCATTTCACGTTTGAATGTGCAAATGTTATATACACACAGCAGTACAGCAGTGCGCAGTACTTCGATCCA